CCACCAATCGCGTGTGGTTCGTCTTTCCCACCCACCCACCACCCTTTGCTCCTGGTATTCAATACCCAGAACCCGCCCACTCGCCCTTACTTTCCCATCCCTCTAGCTCTTTGGACACCGGGCCGATTGATAAATTTCTCTGCATTCCTGCACGCACAATTCTCAACAGTCTTCCCTGCAATTGTCCTTTTACTCATTTCTAGATTCTCTGCCCGCTGTCACAGGACCTTCCTCCGCTGGTGCGTTTGGCGGTCGAGGCGCAGATCCGGGCAGAGGACTGGCGGCAGCTGTCGGCGCAGCAGTCCGCAGCGGCAGCTGCGGGCCAGCCTGCAGATGCGGTGTGTTGGCCCACCTTGGAGCGGCACTGGGTGCATCGGATCAAGCAGCTACTGGAGGCGCTGCCGGCGGTAGGTGGTTCGTTGCCACTAAGAATCTCTTTTGCGAACTGGGAACGGCACCCGTTGCCATTATGTACCTTAAGTACCGGTTGTAAGGTACGTAAGTTTAGTAATATGAGTAGCGGCATTGCAAGAAGCGTGCCTCTTTAAGGAAGTGGCGCCTGTGTGTACACAAAACTGAGTTGGCTGACGGCTGCATGTGGACATTCGCAGTTTTGATTTCACTGGTGCATTATTTCAACGGCTCCCTCACTCCTGGATTGTCTTCTGGCGATTGTTTTTATGCATCTTCCCTCCCGGACTGGCCAGGCGAGAGCAGAGATGCAGCGGATGCGGCTGGGCGTCCAGGTGGCCATGTTGCCGAACGCGGCAGCCGCCGCCGCCGCCACAGCGGGACCAGCAGCAGCCGGCTGGGCAACTCTTGGCCCTGGCCTCGAGCTGCCCAGTGGCCCAGCGGCCTCGCCTGGACGCGACCGCGCGGCCGCACAGACCGGTGAAAGCGTGGCAAAGACAGGCTCTGCGACGGAGACGGAAACAGCGGTCATTGCACCATTACAGTTACGCAAAGCTCCTGGAGACGGGAGTGCGGCCGTTGGTGACGGCGGCGACGGCGCTAAGGTGGCCGGGGGAAAGGCGTCGCCCCAGAATGGCGAGGTAGGGGGCCGGGCGGAGGGCGAGGATGATATGGAGGAGGGCGAGCTGGCCGAGACCGCGACCCGCGGTTCACCGGCTCCAGCAACTGCCGCCGGCACAGCAGCTGACGAAGCGGCTAGCGGGATGGCCGGGCCGATGCCTACGGCAGAAGCAGCAGGAGCGCCTGGAGCGTCAGCAGCTGTGGCACCGGCTGCCATACCGTACATGTACGACGGCACAGCATTCGATATGCAGGGTTATTATAATTGGTCCGCGCACTTGTATCGGTACCATGTGTCGTACGTAGAAGCAGGCCATTATCCGTACGTGTTGCCCGGCGCGGTTGGGGGAGATGTCGATGCGGAGCAGCCGCCGCTGCCCCCGCTGCCGGAAGACGGCTGCGCTACTGCCACCGCCGGGCCGCTGCCGGTTTCATCGCCTGCACCGCCGCCACCGCCGTCGCCGCTACCGCCGGTGCCGCCATTGCCGGGTCCAGCTGAGGAGGCGTTCCCGCCGCTGCCCCCGGATGTCCCTTTGCCCCCGGAACCTACCGTCATTGACGATGGAGATGACATGGTAATCGAGGAAGGCGGTGGAGCCTCCCCGGGTACGGCACCGGTTCCGCCCGCGGGCGACCACGTCGCGCCGCCGCTCCCCCCGGGCTTCGAGTCGGCGACCGCGTACATCAGCATGTACGGACAGAACGCGTACGACGCATACATGTCGCAAATGTATGGGTACGCGTATGGCATGGCGCCGCCGCCGGCGACCACATCGGCAGGGCATGAGGCGCTGCAATTCGCGAACTTGTACCTGGGGTACGGGGGTGCAGCGGCAGCAACTCAGCTGCCGCTGCCCGCAGCCGACGCTGAGGTGGTGGCGGCGGCTGTGGAGGAAGGGCCGACTGCTGTACCAAGCGCGGCCGCCGCCGCCACGAAGCCGTTGGTCTCGCAGCCCAAGCGTAAGGAGTACCGATCGGAGCCGATCCGGAACCCAGTAGCTGTGGGGATAGCGACGATAGGTCCTCTAGGAGCGGGCAGGGGAGAGGCAGGTGCAGACGACGGGGGCGACTCGGGTCCTGCACGCGCGCGCGTCAGCCCGTCGCCCACGCCGCCGCCATTGGATCTCCTGAACATGCACGTGCTGCCAGCAGAGCCGGCTGGCGGCGCCGCCACGGCACCGGCTGCCGCCGCCGGCGCTGTGGCTGCAGCAGGAAAGCGGAAGCTCGCAGCAGCAGCCGGCTCCATAACTGCCGCCGCCGCTGGCGGCGGTGCGAAGCGCAACAAGGGCCTTGGGGGGCGAATGGGTGCGCTGGTTCAGCAGTGGAGTGCAGCTCAGAAGCAGTTGGAAGCAGAAGACGAGGAGAGGGCTCGCAAGGTGGGGTATTGGGTTCGCGAGCCGGTCAGTGCGCCACAACTGCTCAACAACTGCCCACAACTGCTCGACAACCGTCGCACAACTGCTCAACAACTGCCCACAACTGCTCAACAACCGTCCCACAACTGCTCAACAACAAGAACCAAATATCGGGCGAAAAGCTGTCAAAAAATATGCGAAAAGGAAAACCTCCCGTGGGGATAAATGTATGCAAGGGTGCGCAAGCTTGGTGTGCTGCTTGCGCGCCTGACAGCCCGCCTGCCTGTTTCTCGACTAGCATTCACCCTGTTCTCGTTGTCCTTGCCTTCCCTGCCCACATTCACCCTGTTCTCGTTGTCCTTGTGTACCCCGCCCGCCTGGAATCCCCACCGGTACCTCCATACTGGCTCGTTGGACTGCGTAGGCCGCGGAGGCAGAGGACCCAGACGCCCAGGAGCGCAAGCGGTTGGCTGAATTGGAGCGGTGGAAATGGGAGCAGCAGGTGACGGGCGCGTCACGCGACAATGCAAACTTTGCGGTGAGTTGCGCTACGGGGGCCAGGCAGCAGGTGGTGCTGCTGTCCGCCGGCGGCCGTCGCGACAGGCATGCATGGACTTAAAGGTCATATTGCAAAGAAGGGGCTGGGGGTATGGGTGTTGTGGGAAAACTTTCCTAGCCCTGTCAGAGCGCTTCGTTGCATGCACGTACATGTGTATAGATGGATGGGGCCGGTTAGGAGTACATGGGCATGCAAAATGGTGGGGAACCCCTGGCGCTTGTGCTTGGCTCCGAGTGCGGCACGAGCGGCTTACAGGGACAACCTCCTGTATCCTCGACCAACGTAAATCCCGGGAGGGCCCGCGACTGGGCCCAGCTCTGTGAGGACCTGAGGACCTCCTGTCCAACAGGAGCCCGAATGGAACCCATGCGTGGGGCCCCCTTCCGGCATGCTTTTGCGGTGTGCCTTGCACGGCTGCCGTTGCCGTCGTGTACTACCCTGTTGCCGCCCGCTACCACGCCCGCTTGTTGAGCTTTTCCCGAGCACCCGTCGTGAAATTGTGTAGAAGTGTGAAACGGAGCACACCCGTAAGCGGGTATTCTTGGCAAAGGAGCACTAGGGAAATTGTCGCGAGGGATATGGACTAAGGCGATGTTCCCGACGTTCTCGGCCAATGCCGCCCTGTGTGTATAGATGTATGCATGGATGTGTGTGTACGTCCCTGTCCTGTGTTTGCACAGCCCCTGGGAGATTGGCGATCTCGTTTCCCCAAGATGGCGGCACAACAGCACGATGACCAGCCGGGCGGCGGTGAAGGCGGCGAGGCTGGCGGCACAGCGGCCACCGAGGACGCCACCACTGCTGCCGCCGCTGCTGCCGCCGCCGGCTCCGCCGGCTCAAAAAAAGCAAAGAAAGCGGCCAAGGAAGAGTCGAAACGGGAGAAGAAGGAGAAGAAGGTAAAAAAAGACAAGAAGGAGGTGGTACCTGCAGCGCCGGAAGGCGGCGGCAGACAGCCACATGTGGCGGCGACGACGGTGACGACGACGACGACGACTGCGGCGGTGGTGGCTCCAGTGCTGAATTTCAAGACGAAGCCCGACCTCGACGCCTTGTCTGCGGGTCTGCCGTCTGGCTGGAGGGCCATGTGGGACAAGAACAGCGGCGACGTGTACTATGGCAACATGACGACAAGGGTACGTAATTGCGGCATAGTAGCGTAGTAAAAGCCCAGCACAGATGGCTTCGTCCCGCTTGGCCCGCTGCACGTCGTGTGGGGCTTTTGATGCTGCATCGGGGATGCAGCATCTTGCATGCTTGCGGATGGAGCTCTGCTGGGTTGTGCTGGTTGTTCATGGGGAGGGATAGTCGGATCTTCAGCATGTGTGTGTGTGGGGGGGGGGAAATGTTGAGATGGGGTTGGGATGAGGATCAGGGAAGGGTTGGGAAAAGGGGGGGAAGAGGTTGGGAAGGGTTCTTTGGTTGTGCGTGGGTGCGGCGCGGTGTGAGTAAAGGAGGTAGTACCGGGGGAGTACCGGCCCCACAAGCCCCACGGAGGCCCGTGCACCGGACAACGCCGGGGCGGCGGAACATGTCAAGAGAGCTCCTGGTACGCGCGAGGCCGTATGGGGCATATGGTGAGGGAAATCCCAGGTTCTTGCTGTGGGGGGAATGCACGCACACTCGTGAGTACTGCAACCCCGTGAACGAGGTACGCTCATCAGCGGCGTGCCGGCAGCAGCGACAGCATGTGGCGGCATACAGTGCTGCGATGGCGGTCCTACCTTGATTTCCAGCTCTCTACTGAGAGCTTCCCAGCTGAGTGGCAGCTGGCGCTTCTCTGGCAGTTCGCCGCTGTGCGAGCAGCCCTTGATGGATCGATGGATGGATGTATCACCCACAAGCGCTTCGGCCTGGCCGTGTAGGGACTTCCTGCTCGGTCTTCTGTTTGTCGTCCCCTCTACCCCGACCGTGCACGTTCTCCAGTCAGGCCCAAAGGTCAAGATTTATGCTTTCCGAAAGGCTCACAGCGTCCTGCTCTCACGGCGTCCCGTGCCCACGGACTGTGTTGCTATTGGACCGCCACAACGGCAACAGCAACAGCGGCATCGTTGTGCACCAAAGCCAGCTATCAGACGGCTGCTTTCTAGCCGGTGTAGCCGTCGCCCTGGCCACTGGATTGTGTTGGCCTCTGGGGCCGGCCCGTTTATTATGTTTTCTGTTTTTTTCGTGTAGTTTACCGTTTACCGTGTTTGGTAAGCGTATGGGGGCCAGCTGCCGCAGCCGGAGTGTTGGGTCCATCTGGCGAAAGAGGTGTGAAGGGATGCGGGGACCAGGGCTGTGGAGTGATCTGTGTGCTGCTGCTCCTCCCGGTTGTTGTAGATCGTGCTGCTTGCAGTTGGTGATGTTGTTGATGGCCAACTTACAGCGCGGGTTTCCTTTCGCGAGTATGAGGATGCATGGGCATGTGACGCGGCTGCTTTGCTGGCTGTGTTTGTTGCCGTGTGTTTTGTGTCTGTGTGTCTGTCTGTGCTGTTCTCCTTGTCGCTATTTTCTACTGCACCCCCGGGGCGCTATGGGGCAGGCAGGGTGCCGCCTGCGCTATGGCGGCAGGCGGCACCATAGCGCAGGACAGGACAGCACAGCACAATCTGGCCTGTGCCTGCCCGCCTTTGTGCCTCTCCATCCCACTACCGGCTTCGGGCAGTGACAGCGCTTTCTTTGTTTTCATTGGGATTCACAACCCGACGACCTTGCATCGTGATAGGTGATAGTTCCCGAATGTGTGCGGGGGCAACGGGGGCTAAGGTGCCTCTGCCCCATGGCAGTGGCGGTGGCAGCGGTGGGCCAACAAGTCTGTTGACCGAGCCAGCAATGCAGCCGTAGGTAAGTTACGACAAAGAATGACACGATGGTGATGTTGACGATGACGACCTACGGCGCCGTACCTCCTCCCGGGCCTGCAACAAAGGCTGGGACAGAGCACCACAGGTAGGGCGCAGGTAAGGCGGGTGGTGGCACCATGACAGGTAAGGCGGAGGACCGGCTTTAGGGGGTGAACCGTGTGCACGCAACGCTCCGTGCTCCGTCATGCAGTTGTCGCGCCGCCGTTGTGCCGCGATACCTGCTTGGGACCCCACTTCATTATTCGATCATCATACGGTTAGCGGACTGGAACACCACCCCCATATGCAATTTTGTCTTGCTGGCGAGGAAATGTGAAAGTGCGTGTGCTTTGGATTAAGCTTGCATCCAAGCCTCTATCCATTCATTCATACACATCTAGTTTACTCACACCGATTGATCGGTACCTCTCCTGGAGTCCTGATGTGTGGTATGACTTATGCTGAAGCAGAGCTGCTGGCAGTGCAGGTGCTGCTTGTGGAGGCTTCCTACTTTTCGATCCGTGGGTCTGTGGTTCTGGCCCTGGCCAGACCAGTTATTCCTGGCCATTCTCTCCGATGCTGCTCGTGCACCGCGGCGCACATCGCTGCTGATGACCCACGAGGACAGGCACACACGCCCATGGCTTGCCGACGAGGAGGACCTGGCCGATAGCTTGTATTAAACTTTATTGAACCGCGGGGACGCGGGCACAAGACATATTTACTTTTACATGTTAGCAAGACTATGTGCACAATGCACAAAATGCCAAACCATGTAACCGCTGACACTGCGCTCCCGCCCCCTCACCATGTTCCCTCTCTCTCCCTGGTGCGACTCTGTTGGTGATCACGATGCCCGATGAAGGAGACCCGGTGGACCCGGCCAGGCTGAGATGACGGAGAAGGAGAGCGGCGCATGGCGACTATGCGTGTTGCGCATCCGGAATGCTTGGCGGTCATGTTGATGTGAAGGACCGACCGACATATGGATGGGCGGCCGGGTGTAACATGACGGGGCGGAACAGAGAAGTGGACGGCGGTTGGAGGCCAATCCACTGCTTAGGTTGCATGTTGTCTTTGTCACCTATATTGTTGTTGTTGTTGTTACATGGTCGTGGGTGCGTTCCCCGTACCTGCAAACCACCCTAGTACGAGCCGAGGGCTCAAGGGCTGCCAAATCGCCTATAAGCACCATCCTACCTCGCACTTCCAGCGAAACAAGTGATGAAGTATACTAACGACCAAAGGGAACGATAGAGTTGCGGTGAGACCATATGCGTTCCAGCATCCTTGCCAGGCGTTCAGGTTCCCACTTCATAGCGTCCTTCATGTGCTCGAAGCGTGGAAAGCCCATATCAGATCTGATTTCGTCGTATGCCGGACAGTCCAGCAAAATGTGTTTCTCATCCTCGATATGGCTATCAGTGCCGCAGCAAGGGCATACTCGCTCCTCCCTAGGTATATAACGCCGTCCCTTACGCGCTCTGTTAGCCGCCAGTGCCCAACAGCAAAGCCTAAACTGCATAAGCTTGCGATTCGCGGAACGCGGGATAAACATTGTGATGTGCGGGAGCACCTCCTTCCTGCCCGCTTGCTCGGCCTCACCTATATGGAATGCACGGGTTGATCAGGGCGCCGATGGTGGACGGCAAACTTCACCAGCCGGCGGTTACTGCTGAATGGAAAAGGATTTTTGGGGCAGTGGAACTGGGATTTTGCTGGGGGGGAATTTTCGGTGAGGTCTGCACGGCCGAAAACCAACCTACTAAGATACCTACGAGCTAGGGTTGGGCGCCCTTTAGAAACTTAGAAATAATATATTCTAATTCTAATTAGAATTCTAAGCTAGAATTTAGAAAGGCCTGCTTAGAAGGGTTTAAAATATTGTAATGCCGTACACCCATTAGAACGTGCCAAAAGTTGTCTTTTCCGACCGCAAATGTTGCTTTTTGAGGTGAAAGATGGCAGATACGGGCCCAGGACCTTCCAAACCTCCTATTCCAACGCCCACAAGCGTCTCCTAACAGTATGGCAAGCCGACACTGGATGCCAAGGCTTACTACGAAGCGCTCAGACCTTTTCTGGGCGCAAGGGCTACGTAAACCGGTTGTAGGGTTCGGGAACGCGTGAGTGTGCAGGGTTTTGTTGACTTTTGATGAGTATCACAGACGTTTTCTGGCCGAATTGAAGGGGGGATGCCGGGGTTGGGTCCTCCAGAGTGTCAGACCTGTATAAAAACCCCGGAAATATCCCAATAAAGCATAAGCCGTCCCAATGGTCCAAAAATAATTTAAATCAGAGCTCCCAGCGAAAAGTTGACCCCCTTGTTCTAAATTTATTTCTAAACTCTAATTAGAATTCTAATTAGAATTCTAATTAGAATTCTAATTAGAATTAATATAGAACGCCTGCCATTCTAAACTTTTGCCCAACCCTACTACGAGCCGAAGCCACGACACCTGGTCGTACAGTGGTCGTACGAATCGCCACAAACACACGCGAAGGTGGTGTTAGATTTTGTCTATCGACAGTACGATATGTGCATGCAGCTATGCATATGGCGTACATGGATGCCGCTTGTAAGGCCCTGCGGGAACTGTTAAGACAGGCAGTGCTGCATGTGGCGTTTCTGGTTATGACTAGGGTTGGCACTCATCTAAAGTCGTTTTTCTAATCTAATTATTTCTCTTGAGAATCTCATTGAGAATTTAGAAGGTCTTTTTTGGCACTTGAGGAGACGGTTGGGTCGTTATCTAATGTACGGCACTATAATTCTTTATAAATCTTTAGAAGCCATATATTTCCTTACTAGACACTCAGAACAAAATTGAATACCGAAAATGGCAGACACTAGCACTGCCCCAAACCAGGGGCAGAGCCAGGAGTCCGAAGATAACAAACCGAGAGAGTACACGTATGCCAAGAAGAAGTATTCGATTCAGGCATATTATGAGAAGCTGCAAGAGGTGAAGAGGAGGAATTGTGCCGACTGGTGGAAGTTCTTCCTCGTTCTGTTGCTCGAGAACGAGGTCAGGATCGTTGAATCGCCTGAAGTTTTGGACGGTGCATATGGCGGATTCGTATCCGGCCCTGGCTTTCGTGGCCAACCGCGTCCTCCGCATGCACGCAACCACCTGCGCATCAGAGCGCAACTGGTCGCTGTGGGGCAACCTGTTCCACAAGGCCCGCAACCGCCTGGGGCAGATGCGTGCGATGAAGCTCATCTTCATCCGCCAGAACGACAGCTACGCGGCCAAGCGCAATGCCCTGTCGGACGAGGAGGTGGTGATGCAGCTGCTGGCCGGGGAGGAGGAGGAGTGAAGTAGCTAGGGATTCAAGTTGTTCGGTCGGCATTGGTAGCAGTCTATGTCTGCTGAACTTGGCCAGCATGGGATCTTGATGGCATACCATGTCGGCTTTTGTGCATTGCCAGGGCTTAGGAATGATGATCTGGGCCCTGATTCGTTGAAACTTTAACCCTTAGGATATGGAGTTTAAGAAGCATCAAAGGGATAAGCGCCTGTGGCGTGTACTCGACCGTCCAGTGCGCCCTCGCATGCTGTGACCCATGGGTCAATACTGCGGCGGAGTATAATTGCTTGTTTCTGTCGTGCAATTGTGCTTCGCAACGTCCCAAAACTTAATTATTATAACAAATATACCATACAGAATCATCCTAAAAAGTTTCAGAGCCAGTCATGCATTTCCCAGAAAGCTGCCAAAACTTGAGATTAGAATATAACCCATTCTATTGAGATCTAATGAGATCTCAATAGATTGAGATGAGAAGACTTTTTTTTCTAAACTTAGGGGTTACCCTAGTTATGACGCAGGGCAGAATCGACGGGGCCAGGTTCTTTGGCGAGTTGCTCAACTCTTGGCGCGGCCTACGTTCTGTGAGGCTCTTCCTGACATGAGGGTTGTGTGTGTGTGTGTTACATGGTTGGGGGTGCGTGACCCCATACCTGTAAGACTACCCATACGAGCCGAAGGCCCAAGGGCAATACTTAAACGCCTAAAAAGCCACGGAGACAAGGAAACACTGCACTATCAGCCCAGGCTAGCGCCCCAACGGGATAGCTGAGTTGCGGTGAGCCCACATATGGTCCAACATCCTCACCAGACGTGCTGGCTCCCATTTAGTGGCCTCCAACATGCTCTGTTGATGATTGAATCCCTCTTCCCCACGAATATCATTCCATTAAAATGTGTTTTTCATCCTTGATATGGCTATTGGTACCACAGCAGCGGCAGATCCGCTGCTCCCTGGGGAGATGATACTTGCCGTTTCGTGCTCTGTTTGCCTCCAAAACCCAGCAACATAAACGAAACTGCATTAGCTTACAATTGCTAGACGAGGAATGAAAGCCTTAGCATGTGTTGGTCACATAACGGCTGCGGCTCCCGAAAAGGGCAGCCCAATACTTATGCTTCACCGTCTGCATGCCCAGTTGCTTCCCATCTGATGGGTACTCCGCTGGCAAGACAGGCAGACACGCATAGTCCCAGCCGCTCATCAAACGCTCCCTTAGTGCCGTTACCACCGCTCATTCAGGGAGAGGTCTACTCAACAACCACTCAACAGTTCCTTTATCCCCACGACTTCTTGCAGTAATCCACTCCAAATATTGCACACCAAGAAGGAAAACAGTCGTAACATTGAGGTTCCCCAACCCTCCCATTCCGGGTTGGTCAGAGCATCGGTTATCTCCTGCTGTAAAACTGCATTAGCAATGGACCCCACTTGCTTTTGAAGGCGGTTCCAGAAACGGAGGATCTGTTTCACCTTGTAATTTTGTAAGGGAAGTTCAGCCAGCTTCACACACAACAACCAGGCAGGTGGCTGGCAGAGGTGAAGGCCTGACTTCTGCTCCTGGAGTGTCCGGGTTCAAATCCTCCTGTCCCCCTCGCGGGTGTATGAGGGGTGAGGAAATGGGTGGTGTTCTCCCATCGTGTGGACGGTGTAGGACGTGATAAATTCAACTTGCGAGCTGACTAGGAACTAAGATGAGGCGCCGTTGATCTGCTAGATTTGGTTGGATGCTGGTGATGAGTTGCCGAACCCGAAGAGTGTTCTCTGAAGTCGGATGGGGTGAATGGATTAGCGTGCCCCTCCAGCAGGGGAGAGCAAGGAATTGCCTCGGGAAGGAGGCCACTGGTGAAGCTGTACCACCCTGTAACAACAACAACAACCGCCCTCCACTACCTGCCTCATGAACAAAGTCTGTGGTTAACCTGCGCTATCCTTCAGGCTTCAAACAAGCCCGCTGCAAGGTTGGCATTATCCTGCCGCATCCCCGCCCTATCCATGACCTCTGCGAGCACAAAAGGATCCCACGCTGGCAGCCATACAACAGAATTGCTTGGACTCGTGTTGCAAAGCACCACATTTGCACGTCAGGGGCGAACAGTTTCATCTTGTCCAGCTTTGCACTTATGGAAAACATAGCAGATCGTCCTGTATCACATAACTGCTGACAGCACGCACTAAAAGGCTGTTCTGGCCCGTATACCAAGCCCAGATAGCGAGCGCTATCCTTGGCAGGTACTACCTGGCCTGATAGCCGTAACTGTTGACATCTCTCGCTAAGTTCCGACTGCTGGGTGCCATCACATGCAAAAACAAGCCTTTCACACTTTGAGACATTTGGTCACATCCCAAAGGCTTCACAAAACAAGTCCACGAGATGTAGCAACTCAGACATTCACTCTAGTGAGGTCGCTAGCAGACTAACATCATCTGCGTTCAGCAGTATGGAGACACGCTTGCTGTCCACAAGGGGTGTGTCATGTTTACGTACTCCAGCTTCTACAAGGTCATGCGTATCAATCATACCAGCTGGTGTCTCAATGAAGAGTCCAAACAGCTCAGTAGATAGAGGACACCCTTGCTTCACTCCTTGCTTAAACTCAAACTCTCCTCCGGTGGAGATTAAGGTAAATGGTGATTAAGCGTAAATGAGAAAA